AAAGGGTTGAACAAAAGATGTTTTTAAAAAGACATTGATTTTCTTTTCGGTTGATTTAGCAAGAGACCAAGCCAGCTGCCTGTGATGAAAGTTGGTGGGCACCTGGCGTGTTTCTGCAGGGGCTGCAGCCCATTTTGCAGTGGAAAATTGTGTGGCCTCCTGCACTATTAGCCTTGTGCTGTAGTGTTACCAACTGATTTCTCCAATTCTCTTTTCTCAGTGGGCTAGAGCGCAGCTGGCTAAATAGGCCGTGACTCACATAAGCTCCCGCGTCTTTTTTATTGACTGCTTTATGGAAATGTATCACACTCCAAAGGGTCCCCATTGTTGTTCCTATGCATGGCTGACTGAAGATCCATGTTTAGCGTTGAGAGATGGAATCTTGCCTTCTTATTTTTTATTGCAGAGTTGGGTATGGGTGGGATACAAGGGTTGAAAGGAATCTGGATGAAGAGAGAAGATGTCTGAAAATTTCTTTTATCTTCATCTGCCATTGAAGTTGGGTGGCCATCACTTCTGGGTGACATACTTATCTGTTGATCTTATCTTTATGGCCCCACATCCTTTAGCTAAGTGACTTGTCCTTTATATGGGCTATCCTGAGAAAGTTAGTTAAGTATAGTGGTAGAGAGGAGAGATTATGACACGAATGTAATTCTGTTTTGTGCTGGTATAATGTAATATGCCCTTAGGTTTACCCAAGAGCACTATTTATTCTCAATACATCAAAATCATTTCTATTTTTTCATTATAGTGGTGATATCCTTTTTCAGGTAATGGACAAAGAGTTTCTGTTTTTTTAATTGTATACTTACAATTTTTCTTAAAATGGCAACTTATACAATTGTTTGTAACTTCTTCCTATTTTTATTATCATCCTCTAAAGCCCCGGTTCTCAACCTGTGGGTATCTCATTCTAATATACAGGATGAAAATACATCCTGCATATCAGATATTTACATTACAATTCATAACAGTAGCAAAATTACAGTTATAAAGTAGCAACGAGAATAATTTTATGGTTGGGGGTCACCACAATCTGAGGAATATCTATTAAAAGGTTATGACATTAGGAGGCATTAGGAAAGTTGAGAACCACTGCTCTAAAGCATTTACATACTTTCTATTATGCACTAAGTAGCTCTCTGCAGATCTGTTCATTTGCTAGTTGGTGTGGTTTGACAAGACTCCTCCTGCCTCATCACCCATGGCATGGGTAACTTTATGCATCCTCAGGATCACCGGTTCTTGATCATTAGAACCCTGAGCTGATACTGAAAGAGGACATAGCTTAAGTGTCACAGTGGCTTCCCATTTGGGTTGTCTGGATTTGTCAATAGATCATGGAGCTTGAGATCATGCTTAGAGTCAACTCTATATCGAGAGCAATTCTGTTACCGTACTCACTGTGGAATGCCTTGTACATAGAAGACAATATAATAGAGACTGATTGGATTTCCTAATTTTTTCCATAGTCATTCCAAACTTTACCTATAATCCCATTTTTCCCACTGCCTTAAGGGAAATCAGGCAAGAGAGTTGATCAATACAGATCCTCTCTAATGAGTAAGAACACAACATAATGAATCTGACCATGCATGAAAACACAGCATATATGGCTCGGTGCCTATAGCTCACCGGGCTAAGGCGCCAGCCACATACACCTAAGGTGGTGGGTTCGAATCCCCAGCCCGGACCCGCCAAACAACAATGACGGCTGCAACCAAAAAATAG